ACACATTCCACCTCTTTATTGATTACTTTTATTTTACGCTGATAAAAGTAGTATGTTAGTATGGGCAAGAAGAATGTTTTATCTACCTCTCTTGAAACACTTAGCTGTGACATGTTATCATTGGGGCATTAGGGGGAGACCCAGACAGGAACAGTATTGCTGGTAACTTTCAGAGACTAATCATATTGCTCCCACAAAACACTTCATCTCTACAAGCCCCTAGAGCTTTTATCCTGAATCTGTTTCTAAACATAGTCACCGTTTTGGCATTCCGGTGTGCTGCCTCTTCTCTAGCAGCCTTGTTGAAAGATTAATTGCAGTTGAAGAAATGTATCTTAACTGTCTCATTACATAAAGATTTCATAGAATTCCACATAAAGTAACAATATACTGTTTTTAATTATGCAGTATGCTGTACATTGCATAAGTAGTTATTTTTAGACGAGAAAAAGCTTTTGTGTTAAATGCCAATAGAGCAGTTGGGAAGAGAACTTTGCTTTTAAAGGAGGGGAGATTCTGGTGTCTGTTATACCAAGGTAAAACTAGAGCACTGCCATGAAATTCAGCAGAATTAGTGCAAAGTATTAGGGTAGCTGAGAACAGAATGAGTTGTCATTCTGAATAAAACAACAATAATGATTGTATGTTAATAGAGCTTTTAGCAAAACTGAGAAAATACATGATCTAGTAAAGTTTATTCCATCTGACTTTAATGCTCATGTTTATAGAATGAATCCATGTGGCATTCACATAATAATGATGCTCTGAAATTTTGAACCTTGGCAAAGTTTGGTTTGAAGTACTAACTGTAAGCAAGTTGCATCTGACTGTAAAAATTATTTTTAATTTAATAGCATTCTGGTAACTATTTAGTAGAATAGATTTTTTCGCTCACTTCCAGTTTGTTGGCCTAGTTTTTCTTTGGTAAGTTTGGCAAAAGTTGGTCATTTCCATTGGCGATGCGTAGGGAATGCATGTAGGTGCATGTGCACCTGCTGAAAGCGCCAGCCGTGAAACTGGAAGCGCACTTCTGGTTTCACTGCTGATTTGGCAATCAGTCACTGGAGGCACCCCTCTCCTCCCCCGGTTGGCAATCGGCCCCTGGGGGACCCCCGCCCCCCCCGTCAGTAATCTGGTGCCCCCCCAGACTCAGGAGGCATGAGTCACCCATTCTTTTCTATTCTATCCCACTGAGTGTATTTTACTATAGTGAAACTTTGCATCTAATTTTATTTTTGTTATTTTTTTAAAAAGTATATTTCACTTTACTGTCAGTGTGCATTTTTTTTTTGGAGAGTTCACAAATATTTAGGAAGAAACAAAACGAACTTCACAAATAAGCTCTTCATTATCAGAGCAGTCAGGATTAAGATTATTGAAAAAGTGTTGCCAAAATTAGTTTGAACAATATATTACCTTCCAAGCTAACCAACTGAGAGAACCAAATAAATAAATAAACAAACCTTGCCAGTTGTTCAGTACATGGGATGAAAGTGAAGTCTTCCATTTCTCTATAGTGACCCATTAACTGAAGCAGAACCTAGGTATCTGTATCTTATCATGCAACTACAAATGCAGCTGCTAGTCATAAAATAAGTTGACCCGTTCATAATTCCAGCCATAATATTTGACTCAGTGGCCTCTTGTACTGGTGAATTCTGTTGTGTACCATATTCATTTACTTTTATTTGTTCTTAATTTATTAACCAATACTTTCATGTTGTATAAGCCATTTATTTGCTTTTGTTTTATGAGCCCAAGCAAGGAGAATTTGTTCTTGTATACCCTTCAAATTCTTGCATTTTAAACAATTCCCCTCTGGCTGCAACCTGTTCCATTCTAAATAATTCCAGTTTTGCATTGTGGTAAATGCTACCACATGACTAAGAATGTATTCAAATATTCTGACTTTCATATTTTCATGCCTTTACTCCAAATTATACAAATATAGTCCAAGCTTCATGGGTTTTGTCCCTTCAAATTCTATCGCAATATGCAAAAACAGAGTTTTTGAAATACAATATTTCATTTCACTCAAGTCTTGAATGCTCACAGCTCTCGAGTACTGTTTAGTGTTCTCTCTTAAATAAGTGGGAAAGAAGTTGAGAGACAGAAAAACATTATAAAATTAATTCAGGTATAATTCATTCTGGAATTCGGGATACCAGATATCTCAGATAGCCGAGGTAAACTACAAATGTGCATATGAACTCACTGGCAAAACTTTTTCCTTATGTGGCTTGTTTATATAAAGTCTAATATATAATGTGTTTGAATTCCATTAAAAACTTTTGTTGCTAATCTTAATGGAAGATAGAGAGATACATCAAACTCAGATCAGTGTGATTAGATTGCTGTAGGGTCAGGTTAGATTGTTCTAAAACATTATATGGATGGGATCTATTTGGTCCCCTTTGTTATTTTGGAAATAATACTATCTGCATATGTGACCTATAAAACATTCTTATTGACAGGAAATGCTAGTGCTGAAAGATACATGACCAATGGCATTTTATAATTTATTGATTGAGTTTTATGTAAAATCATGAACACTTGGACAAACATTGGCCATCATGGTTAGTCAGTATCATTTTCTTTGCTACTCTTTTTCTGCAAAAAAAGTGTTCATTTTATAACTCTATTAGAGATCCTTTAATCCATTTTATAATGATTTTTATATTTATATACATAACGGATACATAACTTTGTAAATAGAGAAAAAAATTACATTTATTATAAGGCATTATTTTTAACTGAACACTAGAGATCAAAAAATTCTCTCTCTCCTTTTAGTCTAAGAAGAGATTTGACAGTGCAACCATTTCATTATTACTTAAGTACATTATTAGCTATATGTTGTTTGCATTACTGCAACACCTAGAGATCCCATTAGAGATTCCCATTGTCATCGTTTATAATCTGCAACAGTCATTAACTTCAGGGGTGTACAATCAGTCTTTTAAAATTAAAGAGCAAATGCTGGAAAGAAGGTAGTGGTATTTATCCTGAGGCTTCTGGCAGACATTACACTTAAGACGTGATTAACCAGTTCATCACATCTTAAGTAGTAACCTGGCCATATGTTATTGCAATTAACAGCACAGTAAAACAAAGAATAAGCCACAAAGTTATTACAAAAAATGTGTGTCATAACTTTGTGGCTGGTTCCTTTAACATCTTAAATTGAACATGTGGCCAGGCATAAGCTTATCTTCACTCCAGCCTTTGGGACGCATTAGAAGGTGGGAGCGGGAGCTGATTGGGACTCCCAGCCTCAAGCATGAATCAGTCTTGAGGGAGTCCAGTGCACTTCTAAGCCTGGAAGCCCTAATCAGCTGCCAGGTCCAGCCTCAGGTGTACATCAGAGCCAAAGACTCTGGTGCACCCCTGAGACTGGGAGTAGCAGTCAGGAGATCAGCACTTTCAGCCGGGGGGGCTTTGAAACCCTGGACACCAACGTGCTCCCAAGACTGGGAGCATGGATCAGCTGACTGGCTTGCTGCTTGCCACCTGTGTGTGCAATATGGTGCAATTGGGATCTGATCCCTGGTTCCAAAAACCTGCCTTTTGGCGGGGAGGGAGAAGGAAGGAGAAAATTAGGCTATGGGATATTGATGAACAGGAGTATTTGCCAACTTGTTAAAAACCTTCCTGCAACAAAGATGATGCTCTTTTAAACATCTTTTTTGTTGCAGAGCCACAATTTTGAAGCCAGATTGGCCATTTTTTTAGTGGGACAAAAATCCTGAACATACGGCTGCAGGTAGCTGCCCCACTTTATCGGATGTTTTACTGGGACAAAAATAATGTCTGGCAAAAAAATTCTGAGGGAGTTGGAAATCTCAATAATAATGGGCTTTGTCTACATTTAAAAGTCTACTTGCTTAGATATACCACTGGCCTCCTTAGAAATTCTTCCACTGGCAAAAGTTCGGAAGTTTGTAAATTTTGTTATCTAAGAAGCCAAAGTAAAGACAGGCTTTTTTAACTCCCATTCTAGAAGCAAAAAATTCACTTCATATTAGTAGTTAATTTTAATTTTAAAGTGCCCTGAGTAAAGTCCAACAGAGGCAACAGGCTATTGGACCTTTACAGAGACTGTATTTAAAAGTGAAAATAAGAAAAAATAAGTGTTTTCTTATAATGGCCTTTAAAAATCCCATTTGTTCAGCAAGATGATTTTTTTCTACAGTATAATTTTAAACAGCTGAGATTAAGAGGCTTTATTTATTTATTATTAATAAACAATTAGAAAATATATCTTTGTGTTTGAAAATAGCGCAGTACGCTGCATTTACAGTCTCCAACCAACTTTTACAGTTGAGCAAGTGTACTGGTGTTAACCAGATAAAGCACTAATTTGAAAACTGTCAAAGAGGAATCTTAAAGTTCAT